ATTTGGATGTTAATGTATTTTATAGTTATATTTTTTATTTAATGTTAAAAATTTTTATATTATCTCATATATTTAATAGTGTTAAAAACCGATCATTCTAACTGAACCACGATTTAAATTGGATTGGTTTGATTATCATATAATAATGGATTAGATTGATTTAAAAATTTTATTAACTGATTAAATTGGATTGATTTAAAAAAATATTAAAATCCAAACCAAATCACACCCATGAACACTCATATGCTAAACAATGATTAGGAAAGATGTTTTCGAACTAATTATTCACGGCTGAAGATTTCAAGGGCCCAGTTTAGCATCTCCTTCAAAATAATTTAGTAAATAAGCCAAGGCCCAACCCAACTCAAAGATTTGTTTGAAATAAAGGAAACAATTATTTGAGACAATTCCGTTTCATGAAAATAATTTCAAATTGTAGTAAGTTTGAAAAATATTTCCAATATGATTTTAAATTCAGTTTGATAACGCTGGTTTATAATTAAAGTTATAAATTTTTTAATATTTTAATATCTTAAAAATATATAAAATATATTTAATATTTATTTTAATTATTATTTTATATAAAATACTTAAAATACATAAAAACCAAAAATTAAAATATCGAGAAATATTCTCAAATAAAACCTTAAAATCTCATATTATTCCAAAATAATACGTAGAATCCTATGTTTACAACTTACATTAGTACTATTGTTGTGGCAACCCTTTTCTTGCCATCACAAATTCTCCCTAAGAAATCTGTCAGTAGTGAAATTTAAGAATTTCATAATCATACAACGCAAAAACATAGACATAAGAGGCATAAAGAAGACGAAACCCTTATCAATTCAGGAAAAAAAAATCTACAAAGCCAGAACTGTGATTTGACGATGTTGAATGATAATAGCATCACTACCAAAAAAAAAAAAAAAAAAAAGGAAAAAAAAAACCAAAAAAAAAAAAAAAAAAAAAAAAGGTCAAAAAGCACCTGAAAATACCAAAAAAAAATAAAAAAAAGAGAAGGAAATAAATTTTAAGAATCGATGAAAATTAGAAGCTTGCAACTAATTCGGCATTACAAAAAAACATGGAGACTTTTTTTTTTTTCTTTTAATCAGCGAAACTAATTATTGCTGGTTAATCGGCTAAATCGAGAGGCCCAAAAGAAAAAAGGCTAAATTGAACAGTGTCCAGCAATGGCCCAATCCAATAAACTCATCGGATTCAACCATTTCTTTCAGCAACGCACCACTTTTCCTGTGCAAGATCCGGCCACAGATCGGTGCTCTGCTCGGAACCATCGTAACCATGGCCGACAGTAAGAGCGAGACTCCAACAGAGAAGGAGACGCCAAAACCGAAACCGAGACCGATCGTGCGTCTCGGCATCTTCCTCATCTCTCACAGCTTCCTCGTCAGGTAGATTTTGTCTCCTTGAATCCACGTTCTTTCTCCTTCTAGTTCATATTTGGATTCGATTCAATCGCCTATAATCTGCTGTTTCCCTCTTTAGTTTGTTATAGTGTCGTTTGTTGCGCTGCTGGTGTTCTGGCTCTGCTTCTCCTTCCTGTTGCCAAGAACATTTACATATCCGAAAATGCCCTCGTGCCAGGTCGCTTCATTTCCTTTCTTCCATTTCCGTTTCTGTTTTTCTACCCATAACTTTGTGAATATGTGATTGTGGTAGTTTAGCTGGTTTCTGAATTGAGTGTAGGAAATTAGCCGGAAATAGGAAGCTGAAATACCTTACTTTTCTCTTTGGTCTTCTTAATGCATTTGTTTCTTAAGTATTTATGGGGGCATTTATATTGTCTTGTTTGGCATTACAAGAAATTCAAAGGGTTCAATCTTATTGTTTTGTAGGTTCTGCAAGTCCCATCATTTCTAATCAGGAGGTTTTGGATGGAAATAAACTGGTTAAGGATCTAACCAACCTGAATTCTAAATATATGAATGGGGGTAGTTCTTTGAGATGGAAAAAGATAACTTTTAATGGATGAATTAATAATAATGATAAAAAAGAAGAAGATAGACATATTTGGATGCAAAGCGTAAGAGAAAATTGTTTGATTTAATTGATCTATTGTTTATGTATTATTATAGTGAAATGTTATTTCTTATCTTAATAAAATAATTTATTTAATAAAAATTATTAGAAATATAAGAATAAAAAATGTATTTATTTCTTAATATTTTTAAAGAATTTAAGAAATCATTAATGAAAACACAATCAAAATTAAAATTTTTCTTAAAAAATAATTAGTGTCATAAAAATACCCAAATCATCACCAAAAAAATTTCTAGCTGCCTCAATTTTTCTGGCCCCGCCCTGGCACCATGTATTTCACATACTAAAAAGTAATACATGTTATGTTTTAAAATAACTATCTTTTTATTTTTTAATTAATTATTTGAGATAATTTATGTATTTATTTATATTATTTTAAAAAAAAGATAAAGAGATATTTTCATAATTGGACAATTAATTAAAATAAATTGATCATAATAAAATTAAAGTAGGAAAAAAATATTTTTTTATTTTAGAATATTTGTTCATCAGCGTGGCATGTTAGTAAGAGGGTTAAACTCTTCTTTTTTAACGTTAATTCCTAAGAAGTTTAATCCGAGGGAATTGAAAGATTATCGCCCTATTACTTTGATTGGGTGTGTATATAAATTGCTGGCAAAGGTGTTAGCTAACAGAATTAAGACTGTGATGCTTGAGATTATTACTGAAACCCAGTCTGCTTTTATGGGGGGTCGTCAATTGGTGGATGGTGTTTTGATTTTAAATGAAGTGGTTGATGA